AAGATATAAAAAGAAAAAATAAAAATGTGCCATGTATACACTATTACCTTTACCGATCCCTCTATCCTCGATCAGTGCCCCAACACCAGAAATCAGGAGGAAGGCCAAACCCAATGCACGGACTGTTCTCCACAACTGCTCCTTGAAATTCCCACCTTCAGCAGTCACCATGTGTATAGGAGCGCCAGCTGTACCAAGGATTCCATCTTTCGAAGTCTTCCCAACATTTTTAAGAGCCGAAAGAGCTCCATAACTTTCTTCTTCCACGTGTGAGCTAACAGCTCCAAGCATCCCTGTAAAAAAAGTCAGATGTCAAAAACAACTTATATTATATCAACTTGGATATCAAGTTTAAAAGGCTGAAATATATTAAACGCACTCACCTCTGTGCAATGTCTTAAGCAGCTCACTCTCATCAAGCCGGTCGACCTTAACTAAGGCCTTCACATACTCAGCAAGCGCAGATGGGTTAGAATGTAAAGAAGGTTGACTCTCAAACAACCTTATGACTGCTTCTGGATCATTTCTATGATAAAGCTCCTTTAAATATGCAGCATCACTCGATCCCTCATTATTGCGCACTCTACGGGCTAGACTGCCGAAATAACTCGGTTTTCCAATCGAGCTTGTGCCGAGAGCACTTGTAAGCCTTTGAGCTGAAAAAGGAAAACGAAAAATTGGGGGTCATGGTGATATCATTCAGCATAAAGCCCACAGAAATGTATATTCATAATAAAATACAGTCTTTAACCTTGACTTGGAGCCAGATTAACTAATACGAACAACACGAAGCTAATAATCTTAATATGACACCAGATTAACTAATACTAAAGTGAAACTTTCAATACAAACTTCAAAGAGTACTCAGTCTGCAAGGAAGTAAATATCAAATTAGTGAAACAGATTTATTAACGACTTCACACCAAACGTCCTTAATACTATGTATGATTTGAAAGGGGAATGTAGCAGATTCAACCCATCCATAATAGAGGAAAATGTGCCACAATAACTGCTCAAATAAATAAAACAAATAATTGTTGTGCTCAAGAGAGTTAGCATACCAACTCCTTTAGCATGTGGTGAAGCTCGATTATTTCCAGCTGCCAGATAGCTTAACAGTCTCATCTGTGACTCGCGAGGTTTGACCTAACATAATAAGAACAACAACAATCGACTTAAAGCCAGCCGAATCTTGAATTCAAGATCATTACAATCAGATGGCATTACGCAACCTAAGCTAAGCCTAAACTTGCTCACTACCCTTACTGAGACGGCTAACAACCGCCTTATATGAAAAAACCATACCAAACCATAATAGCATGAATGAAAAAATAAACCAATAATAAACTTTGGAAGGGGGCTAATACAGATTCATAAAAATGCAATATTTCAATCATAACCTAATAAATCAGATCTTCGCTGATTAAATACTTACAAAAGATCCAAACTTTCAGCATACTTTAATCAAAATTCTTATTCCTCCACAAAACCCACAGAAAATCAATACTAGCTGCTTCACGAACCCATTAAAAAGGAAATCCAAGATTAGGGCTTTCGATAATATAGACATTAGAAGTTAACAAATTATATTAATATAAAATCCCTGATAAACATTTCAGATCCTAAGACGAAAAAACCACATTAAATATTGAAGATTATGCTAACCTCGCTGAGAAGACGCCTCAAAGCCATCTCTTTCCCAAGAGAGACCAAAATACAGATAAAATTTATTTAGAAGAAAAAAATCCCTGTTGGTAAACTTCCTTTATTCTCTCTCTAAAAGCTATTTGTGTAAGTTTACATCTATTGGAGAAATCTAGGGATTTTTCTGAGGGCTAAATGAGAAGAAAAAGGTAAGGGGAATGAGTTCCTGAGGAGAGACGAACAGTACTAATTTTTCAGTCTCTTCATAAATCATACTTAATTAATTTATTAAATAAATGTAAGAAATATAAATTTAATATAAAATATCAAGAATTATTTATTGAAATGAAATAGTTTGGCTCTAAATTGGTGACCGTGCGCTATTGTCAACCAATTGATGACTAATGGGAAGATATCAATGTGGCACAAACAAATTGGGCTAACCTATGCATATTATTCAGGCTTACTTGAGTTGTAATTTAAATAAAAATGTGATTTTTGGCTTGATTTGGTTATAAATTATAATACTAATCAGAATGAGTTTCAGTTAAAAATGTTGAAATAAACTGATCACGAGTTGAAACCAAACTTTATGTGTGAATAGTATGTACAAAAGTGCTTAATGGGATTTAAAGGTATAAACTATTCAAGTTGAACTCGAGTTTCCGATACTCAAGATGAGTCTCGAGCCTATATCTAGCCGAACTCAAAACAAGTTGATATACAAATGTGGGTTCGTTTTGATATTAACGAGTCGAATTAATACTAAAATTTAAAAAATATATAAATAAGGACTTGATCTTGAGCCTTAATAAGTCAAGTTGAGTTCGTTAGCTAAATAAAGTCGAGCTCGGCTCATATATGAGCCGAATCGAGCCAACCTAACAAGTTTAGTTGAAAATAATAATAACTAGTACAATACCCGTGTATTACACGGGTGTTGAATTAAAAAGCTTTTGTAAATTTTTTATTTTTTTTTAAAAACTAAAATATTTAATTTTATATAAAACATTACTTTGGGTTTTAATTAAATTGTCAAATTAATTTTTTTAATTATAATAATTAAACACCCGTACATTAAACGAAAATGTCAATCCGTGTTGAATTTTTTTACTTATATCATATAAAAATATCGATATTATATGATATTAAAATATAATTAATATAAATATTAATTTATATCAAAGTCTAACTCTAAAGCATGATTTTTTTTCCAAATAGGATTCCGAAGCATGAGAGTTTGCCACGTAAGCTCAGCGCATTCTGAAATTATATATAGAGGGGATATCTTAAATAAACAGAAATAATATGGTGATATGTATATGCATAAGTGTAAAATATGTTTATTTAATATTAAACAAAATAGATTAATTTTTGTTACTTAATTAGATGTCTAATACATCAAGTGTCGTATCAGTCGTGCTTCACAATTTTTTAACTTTATATGTAATTTTAGAATTTATATAAATAATTATTTATTTTTATTACATTGACAACATATCAATTAGATTTGAAATAAATATCATTTTTAAAAGAATACATACCAATTTCTATTACTTTATAATATAATTTATAGTTTTATGGATATAATTTAATTTAGTTTGATAAATAAATTTAAATTTAATTTATAAGGATAGATATTACTGTTTTGTATTATATATATATATATATTTATAAATATGTAAATAGTAAAATACAAACGTACTTCATAATATCAATTCAAATGCAACACATTAATTAAGATTTGTTTTTCTTGACAATATTAATCTTATTTAATGGATGTTATGGGAAACGATGGAGATGAGATATGAAGAGACATTGTATATTAGATGGAGGGTTAAAATGGAAAAATATGAACAAAATATCTAAAACGACATTTATTCTATCAATGATCAATTAAGCCAAAATGACAAATAATAAAAATAAGAAAGAGTATATATTATTATATATTTTAGTACGACACATATTACTTGTACGACTTATATGTGTTATATTATAATAAATTTTCTACCTTATAACATATAACTACATTAAACATAAATATATTAATTGATAATAATTTGATTTTATAATTAATTTTAATAAATAATTTTTTATCATTATAAAGATAAATATAATTTAATATTCTATATATACAATATGGATGTCAAATCGAAGCTCATCAAAAAATGATTAATTTGATATATTATATATGTAAAAGCGATAAGAAATACAAAAGTTATCAACTTTTAAAATATATTTTCAATTCAATGGTTATAATAGAAAATGCTATTAAAATATAATTAATATAAATATTAATTTATATCCAAGCCTAACTCTAAAGCATGATTTTTTTTCAAATAAGATTCCAAATAATGAGAGTACCACTTAGGCTCAGCGCTGAAATTATATATAGAGGGGAAGGGGATAATAATAATAAAGTTACTCGTATCTAATCAAAATACGATTTATAAAGTGATGTCCATGATAAATTGGGTTTCCTAAAGCACAATACAATTTCTAAAGCCCATCTCTTATCCATTCTCATTGGGCGGGGGAGCAAATCCAAAAAGAAATACTCGCATTGGGTTTTGGGATAATCAGGCTCGAACTGATGATTTTCAGCACGTCAAGGTGACACTCTACCGCTGAGTTATATCCCTGCCCCATCGAGAAATAGAACTGACTAATCCTAAGTCAAAGGGTCGAGAGTCACAAATATGGTTGGGTCTAATTACAAGTATTTGAAAATTAAAAAATTGTACCAAAATGGGTTGTTTTTAGACTTAAGTACATATATACAACCATATTTTTTATGTTTTACATATTAACGGCCAAAAGGAAAAAAAAAAATCAAAAATTAATACTGCTATATAAAAAGATGATATTTTTTTAGAATACTTGTATAAACAAATTAATGATCAATAATATTTGTTTAATTAATTTTCTAAAACTTTAGCGCAATTGATTTTTTTCCCTATATATAATTTTTATTATATAAAGTGAAAATTAGTTATACTTTATTTATGAGTTATATGTTTAGTATAGTTAAACCATAAATATACTACGCTTGGTATATAATGATTGACTATATTTTCATGTTTATTGACTATTGTAGTTTAACCACAACTATACCTTACATTTAAGAAACAATATATATACAAGTTTACAACAATGATATTGAGTAAAGATCACCTTCACTAATTATAAATCAATATAGAAAAAAGTGTGAATATAATACTAAACAAATCAACTAAAAGATATCCTAGTAAAAAATACAAAGAATAAACTAGTATGTTGAAAAAAAACAAAAGGACAGAGTCATGTTATAATATAGAAAACATAAACAATTTATCAACTAGAAATTATATTGAATAAATTATCAATTAAAATCGTAATTCAATTTACGAAATAAATCGACAATGAACTATTCTTCAACCAAAATAAACTAGCAATAAATTGTGTGAGAAATCACACTTCCCAACATTATTTTTATTACCTTTTTTTGTTCCATGCATTAACTAATCAATTAGATTTATAAAAAAAGTCAAAACACTGTAAATGTGGAATTAAATATTTGATAGATCATGGTATTAGAGTGCAACGGAATAAACTTTTTGTACCGTTAATATGTACATCTAAGAAAGTTTGGTCGTGTAGGGAGTAATTTTTTCTTGTTTTTAATCATGTTAAAAATACTAAAAATATACTGCTAATTAAACTACACCATATCGGTGTCCAACCATTGGCTCCATAGAATTTCTCTCATCAGATTATCTATCATTTCACAATCAAGAGCATGGTACAAAGTACATGATATGCACGTGGTCATCATCTTCATTGTTTATAATTCTTGTACAGTTGTATTAATTATGTGGCTTATACTATTACCGTGAATAGAGTGACATAGACTGACAGTAACATATATGTTCATTTTTTATATCAACAAATATTAAATGCCGATCATGACTTGTACTGATATTTTTATCCATGAAGCTGCAGTTTGTTTACAGCAAGCTGCATTTTAGTTTTTGTCTAAGTGAGTGCGTGTAGAAAAAATAAAAAACTAAAAGGGACAAAAAAAATTGGGAAGTTAAGGCTTTATTGAGGAATTATATGGAGAGATCTGTAATAAAGATAGCATTTTTACATGTTATTTTGATAGTTAATGTAGTTAGAGTCAGAGGTTTTTACCAAAACAGACAGCCTTACAGAACAGCATTTCATTTTCAGCCCCCTAAAAACTGGATGAATGGTAAATTTCTTGTTTTCGAAACAAATTTCTCTTTTGTATGGCTGTGTACTGTTTAGTGATAGAAATACTCTCTGCCTTCTTTGAGACCTATTGATTTTTTTATATAAAATGTTTATTTTTGTTTTTGTTTTTGCTGCCGTTGCTTCTTGGCACGTCCATTGGTGTGTGTGCACGCTGATCCACTGACTATATGGCTTCAAAGACCCAAATGGTAATTCATTATTTTCCATTATTCTTTAGTTTCATTTTTCTGTATTCAGGTATTTACTCTGATAAGTTAGAATAAAGTGTTTTATGAATTAAGTTGTAAAAAATCCTTTAGTATTTGCTGCCTGTGTTTCTAGAGGAAGAGGCTGTGTAAGTGTTCATGTTCAAGTGTATAGTGTTAAGCAGAATAAAGGAAAAAATGCAAGCAAAACTTGTTTGTGTTGCTTAAAGTCGTTTTTGTCTGCAGTCGATCCCAAGAAATCTTTTGCTTGATAAAAGCGGCCAGTCCAAGAACTCGAAAAGCTTCGTGGTGGAAACGTTACTTTGGCGAATAAAGAGATTAAAGCTGAAGAAATATTACATACCAGGAATAACAGCTTCACAGGCGTTTTTCTTCTGTTTTGACAAAATAATGTCTTTAAATTCATATTTTAACAGAAGAACCCCAATAGGTGTAATTTTCCATGTCATAGGCTGATGTAGAGGTTTCGTTTCGAAATACCGCATTTGAAAGGCATTGAGTTAATTGACGATCCACTAATCGATCCTCAACTTTTATGCGTTCGGATGAATGCAACAGTTAACGGTGTTTTTGGGCCGTTTGGTTTGTTTGTATTGGCCTCAAAGGACTTGACAGAACAAACTGTCGTGTTTTTCCGGATATTTAAACTTAGAAGTAGCGGTAAATATGTGGTGCTTATGTGCAGTGATCAGAGCAGGTATACTGTATGCATCTCTACATTCTTTTATCTATGTATAATATATACTTATGTATATGTATATTGTTGAATATCAATGGTGTTATTTGATGTTTTTCAAATCAGGTCTTCATTGTAAACACATGTCAAAGAAGCCTTCTTTGGGTCATTTCTTGATGTGGATCCTAATCAAGAAATCTCACTAAGGACCCTGGTAATGTAATGCTGCTTGTGAATTCATTTCATTCATTTTTTTATTTTTTATTTTTTATTTTTGAATATTACAATATTCACCTCTGAAGTTTAGCTTAATTGCCAAGAAAACTAGATTGTCCTTCAAAATTTGCTGACTGTTTCACAAATTGCAAGGTTAATGGAGTTCATTTTTCAGGTGAACTTATGGGGTAGTTCTTGAAAATATCCAATTTTATTGATTTGAATAAAATATTGGACCTGAATAACCATAAATATGCATATATGCTTTATCAATGAGTGTTGGTAAAAAAAAGAAATGATTATTTATTTCTATTGAATTGTAATTGAAGCCTGCAGTATGCTTTCTTCTAGTGCAGGTAGACCATTCAATAATAGAGAGTTTTGGTGGAAAAGGGAAGAGTTGTATTACTGCTAGAGTTTATCCAAAGTTGGCAATTTTCAATAACTCTCACATTTATGCATTTAACAAAGGCAAAGAGAATGTCATTATTTCAAGTCTAAATGCTTGGAGCATGAAGAAAGCTCAAATTGCACAAGTTCATAGGAGAAGAAAGCCCTCAATCAGTTGAGATGAGAACATATCATTGTCCACAATCGTGCTTTTCACTTTGAAACGTTCAATGCCTTTAGATGGATCAAGTTTTAAGATATGTCTTTTAGGCCCCATTAAGTTTCAACTCTATTGATTTATTTATTTTTGTATAATAAATCATGGGGTGAGACCTAAGTGATGATGATTAGAACAGTCTGATAAAAAAAACATTAAGTTTCATTATAGATTAGAGGGTTTTGTTTCTTTGAGGAGAGTACATTAGATAAAGAATTTCAATGAATCCATATAAATTGGATCTGAAAATCCTTGTAAGAGTTCGAAGAATGAACCCAAGCAAATGTTTTCAAGAATGAAGGATTTTTACTTGGATATTGCTCGTTTCGGTTCTAGCTTACTTCGGTTTGGTATTTTAACCTAACTCTATAGTGCTCGGTTATGTTCGGTTACTCAAGAAAGGTGCTTTGGTCACTATTTTAACAGAATGTTTTGATTCAGTTCAGTTCGGTCGGTTTTGGTTTTTTATTCTTCAGTAGTTATGGGATCAAAAACCATGATTAGATAAAACACGGTTTAACTTGTGCCTCAATTTAAGCATCCACTTTTGTTATTAGGAGTATGTCAATCAGTTACACACATCAAGTCTTGCTTTAGAGAACCTTTCTCTATCAGTCATGGAATTGATTCACCAATTGTACTTACTAGATCGGTTAAATATGATTTGTTGGACAGCTTTTTCTTTATTCCTTTTCCAAGACACCCCTAGCTCACTTTTAACTTAAAAATCTCAGTTTAGTAAACAAATTTTGTCGTGAAGAGATATTTGGTAAACACTATCACAGTTTTGCTATGGAGTAATCGGATGGTTCGGCTTATGAAGTCATCTACACTTATTTACCAATATTGTATTGACACGTGTCTTGCAATAAATACACTTTGGACATGTGTCAATACATTAAGTGGTGGATGGCTTCATAGAATTTTTTAACACTATCAACTAGCTTATAACTTATTTGGTTAATTTATAAGCTTCATGTATTCAAATAAGTTTGATTCGGTAGGACAAATTTTTTCAAAAAGCTCGAGCATATCTCATAAACTTCTTTAGATAGCTTTTCAAATAAGCTCGTTGAAATATTTATTTTAGGTGGCTTATCAACTTATTTTATCAAAATTTTTTTTATCATATAAGCTAGTTTTTCAATCATAAGCCATAAACTCGAAATTCACTTATCAACTATCAGCTAACTTATAAGCTATCAACTAAGTTTACAAAACATAAGAGTTGAGAGAACCTTCAACACTCAAAATAATAGTAGTTGCAATGACAAGATGTTTAGCTCTTGATCGTTGACATATCCACTGGCGGATCCAACCTAGTTTGTTGGGGTCACAAGCCCCCAACAAACTGAAGATGCTAAAAAACAATTCATGCCAGAGGAGGGTCGAGATGGTGAATTGGGAGAAAGGATTAGGGCCATAGTATTGTGGGCTCCTATTACATAAATGTCGTGGATCCGTCATTGGGTCACATATCAAGATATGCCCACAAGCTTCTTGTTAAAATCTAATGAACTTGGAATATCATACTTAGATGTGCATACTAGCCACGGGTCAAGATAACGTGAACTTTTAGTCTTTTATTAATCATACCTATTGTGTGTAATATGTTAATCTTCTTATCATTAAAAATATGTTTGTCAAGTATAGCTAAAACGCTAGCTGATAGCTGACATAATTTATAAGTTAATTTCGAGTTTATGATTGATGGTGGTTAAAAACTAGTTAATATGATAAAAGAGTTTGAATACACTAATAAACTTATAGAATAAACTCGATTTTTTTATAAAGGTCTATCTTACCAAACTGGAATTATTTAAATATAAAAAATTTATAAATTAATTAAATAAATTATAAACTAGTTTATGATTACAAATAAAAACACATTCATGTAATATTATCCTAGTCTATCAACTGAAATACAAGAATTACATGTTATTAAATTTATCAAAAGGTCAAAATATAGTTTTGCCAGAGAAAAATAAAGATAAAGATGCTATCCATAATCCGTAGCGACACGAGTAACTAACGCTCTATTTAGCGCCGCTGCTTACCCCTACCCACAAACCTCAATTTAGATGCTTCAGATTATTAACAAAATTTCTGAAGAAAAGAAAAGCAAGAAATTCTTTTCACCCATCTACGCTGTGAAAGAAAATGCAGACATGAAAAAAGAAAAAGCATCAAAATTTAGAAACAGGAATGAAGAAAGCCCTCGCCTTTTATCCGATAAGCGAACGTTCGCAGACACTGTAAACCATTCTCCAGTCTGAGTTGTTCTTTTCGGATTTAACAACTTAATTCAACGGCCCTTCTCGAGAATTTTCAAACCCGCACATATATAGTATAATAATATAGTGTTAAAAAAAGTTCGTATATTTTTCCCTTTGTGTTTCCCCCTGAAAAACAATGGCGGAGGATGAAGGCGAGGCGGGGGAAGGGAGTGGCAATGGGTTAATCTCAAGAAATAGATCCGGGCCGTCCATCTGGCTGAGCAATTTCCACCGGGATCTGACGGCGGGGGCGGTGCTCGGGGGCGTGGTGCACACGATCGTGGCCCCCATCGAGCGGGCGAAGCTGCTGCTCCAGACTCAGGAGAGCAACATAGCGATACTGGCCGGCGGGCCTCACAGGAGGTTCAAAGGGATGGTGGATTGCATTGTCCGTACGGTGAGGGAGGAAGGGATTCTGTCCCTGTGGAGGGGCAATGGAAGCAGTGTCATCAGATACTACCCTTCTGTAGCCCTAAACTTCTCTCTCAAGGTAATATTGAATAATAATAGTAATAATCATCTTCTTTTTGTGGGGGAAAAAAGGAAAATTTATATTGGTGGGCTTGATAGGTTTTTGGAATTATGTTTGTTTTGGTTCATGAAAAATGTGATCTTTGTGTTTTGGGCATATGGGTGTATGAGGTTGAAACTTGAAAAGGGTGTTCGCATTTTCTTGCAAGAATGGTGAACTGCTTTGGTTTGGAGGTCAAATGTGTTGTGATATTTGGATATGTTAGTTGGTAAAGTGGGATTTGGGGGATTTGGAGTGGAGTATGGGATGATTTTTCTTTTCCCCTCTTTTCTTGGTTCTATTTCAGTATGTAATTGGCTATGAGGCATGAGATATGTTTTTCATGCATCTTCTTGTCCAGTGTGAATGCTGAGAAGGGTATTGGAGTATTATGAGGCTATGAAGAAATGATGAATTAATTTGTAGAGTGCTTATTTGGAGTGGTGATGCAGTTTATGCGTAAAGCCATTGAAAAATATTATAATTAGTTCCATCATCATTCGGATAGTTTGGTTATTGTTGGCTCAGTTCAGTATATTGGCAATAAGGATTTCTCACACTAGCAATAAGGGTTTCTCATATTACCCTGATTATTTGCTTTTTGCCCCAACCTACGCTTTGTGGGTAAGAAACCATGTGACAGTGTAAGTAGGCAAAATAACAATAATAATAAAGTTTAAGGTAATGTTAAATTTAAAACTTAATTTATGGTTTATATTGTTTCAAGCTACATAAGTTGATCTTGGTTAATCCTGTTATTTCTAGCATGAGTTTAAAGTATGGGGAGCTATCTAACCTGCAATGTGGCTGTGATTATGTAGATGAAGTTAACCAAAAATAATCTCCCTTTAGCTTTTTCTATGTTACACGTTATTCTTTATGATTTCTGGTTTTATGAGTTCTTATGTTATGACCTGTGCTGACTTAAACAAACATGCTTACATGATTCTTGTGCTATTTTCTATGTGAAATTGAACGGGTCAGCACTCTTGCATTATATCGAACTCGGGTTCTTACTTTGTGTTAGTTTATTGGGTTGGTTTTTCGTGGGTTTTTGCAGCTCCCTTTGTTTAAAATCTTATACAAATCCTCCCTCAATTCCAAATCCTTCCACCCAAATGTAACCTAAGTGAACTTTCTATTTACAAATCGAGTGCCCTTTTTTCCTTCTTTTTCTCCTTCTCAATTTCTCTACATTATATTAAAAATATACAGCAGTAAAAGCTTCTCCAATTCATTAAATAGCAATAGACAAAAGCTGAAATGTTCACATCAGCCTCTAAATGCTCTTCTTTTTGCTGATCCTTCCAGACATCATAAACCAGTTATTAAAAAGCCAATGGGAGTGGCAGTTGTGTTTTCTACTTAAGGATAGACAGGATATAATGGCCCTTGAATTCCCCTTATGCAACAAAAGTAACTTTCCATGTAAAGCTTCTATATAAGTGTGCACCAGTCCTTAAATGCTTTGTTCCCAGATCTTATCGGCTTATCCGCATCAACCCACTAAAAGAAAATACTCACCGGTCACACCTAAAGTACTTGGTGATACTTTTGCAGTTGTATGCCAGTTGATTTTTCTTAGCTTGAAGTCCTTTGCATTGATGTAGCAGGACCACATAGTTTTACTTTACCAGAATGTAAATTTGTAGGTGAAATGTTTTTACAGTGGAATAGCTTGTCCCATATTAACTCCAGCAATCTCACCTGTAAGATGAAAAGTATTAAGAATAATGTACTATGAAATATTTTGATAGTTTGCCTTTCACTCTAAGTCTTGAGAATAGCTTCCTCCTCCCTGATTGTTAGTAAATTTTGAATTGAAGTGCATCAAAACATATTTCTCTTTAAAATGGCAGCTAAGTTGAGAGGGGTAGTTAGGCTAACAAATAGTGTTTATAATAGAAAATATGTCCACAAGATAGTGTTTATAATAGAAAAATTGTAAATTCAAACCACAAGATAGTGCAAATTTTGATTGCAAAATTTCTATTACAAAACTATCATAACCACTATTCTTGTGGACAAATTCAATGTCATTGGTGCTAGCTAGACAATGGATTTATAATATTTTCCACAAATCAGAAAATTTATATTTCAAAAAATTCGAAATCAAGGGATTTGAAAACCTTCAATCCACACGTAGCCCAAGAGAACTAAAAACAAAGATATTAGATTTATCTTTTGTACTTACACTAATGTTCATACTCTTTTTGTCCTAATCCCCTGTGACTATAATTTTACGTGCGCTGTGAAT